TGCGTCGATGGTGAGCGTGGAGCATCCCGGTGCCTTTTTCTTGGTTAGAACCAACTTGTCATCTAGATGGCCCTTGATGCAGATATTCGACCGCCGTCCACTATCCGCTACCCACGAAATTCGGACAAGGCGGGAGAAATTGACTCGTTATCCCGTTTGGGTCCATGCGTTCCATCTATCTTGCAGGAAGACCCGGAAATATCAGACTGGACAAACGATTCCATCACGGAAACCTTTGTCCAAGGTTTCACTCGATGACAGGCAGGATATTTTGTCCAGGTTAGAAGACTTTTCTTCAGTAATACCGTCAGGGTTTCAGTTGCCTTCTCGTCTCGCACTGTCCCGATACATCGCTAGCTATATCAACGGGTTCCATGAGCATTTTCCGTTCCTGCACGTCTCCACAATGTCGATCAGCCAAATCCTTGTAGAGCTCATTCTCGCCATGGCTGCTGTGGGGGCGCAGTACTGTTTTGAAAATGAAAGGGCGATTGAATTGTTGTATGCTAGCAAGAAAATCGCAATTACGCGCATAGGGCGTAGAGATGCGAAGCTTGCGGCAATGCAGCGCCAAGCAGAGACGGACTTAGCTTCTTCTGCCGAAGGTATAGATAATTATGCAGCTCTCCACACACATCCATGCCAGGACATGCCCAAACGGCTTGGTCTACAGCCAGAACCGCCATCATCGTTGCTGGTGACTTCAGACAAGCAAGATCTGATCCAACCAACCCAGGCTCTTCTAATATTGATGGCCCTAGCAACGTGGGCGAAACACAAGGAATTACTCCGAGAAGCTCTTGCCCTGCAGAGCATGTTATTTACTCTCGTCCGTGATGATGGCCTCTGCAGCCAGCCTGTGCCTGATGATATCTCCTGGGATGATTGGATAGAGCTTGAAAGCATCAAACGGACGAAATTCATCGCCTACTGTTTTTTCAACCTCCATTGCATAGTGTATAATATTCCTTCACCCATCCTTAATTCTGAGCTCAATCTTTATCTGCCATGCAGTGCGGCTGAGTTCAAAGCTCCAAGTCGTCTCAAATGGATGGAAGCGAGGGTAAAAGCTGGCCCTCAAATGAGCTTCCAGACAGCTTTGAATCGCCTGTTCTCGCATGGCGGTAACGCGATCACGGAATGCAATTCATCCTTGGGTAACTATATTTTGATCCATGCCATACTTCAGCATATATTTTGTCTCCGTCATTTTTCTCGCGGTAGATTCGATGGTAACCGCGATGTCGCGCCGGAAGACATAGCGGCAACCGAGCAAGCACTATGGAACTGGCAAACTGACAGCAAGCGTAGTCTTCAATCCCTTGATCCACAGCACCCAGACGGATCAGTAGCCTTCAACTCAACAGCGCTTTTACGTCTTGCTTATATTAGGTTGAACATTTATACGGGACCTGGAATAGCGCTTGACACTCGAGATCCAATACAGATAGCCAAGGCACTCCGTACAAGCCCGCGGGTCAAACGCACACCAAAACTTGTTTGCGCCGTCTTACATTCCGCTCGGGCATTAAGTATTCCGATTAAAATCGGTATTCGACTTGTAGCACAAACACAAACATTTATCTGGTCGATTCAACACTTACTGTGCTCCTTGGAGTCTGCCATTTTACTGAGCAAATGGTTGGAAGCGCTCTCGCAGCCAAATCCAGATCCGCCAGTATCATATGATGAGTGGAGGATCGGCACCCTTGTGAAGATGATGCTGGACGAGACGGAGTTTGCTATTGCGTCGAACCTGACTCTTGGATCCCCTGCCATGATCAGGCAGATGAATGCGGGTGTGTTGCGTGTGTGGGCGAAAATCTTCAAAGGGACGCAGACTTGGGCTATCATTGATACCATCGGGAACTCGCTGAATATATATGCAGATATGATCGAGGATAACTAATTCGGCACGTTTCCTGGGAGTTATAATAGTGACATATGACAGGGGGTGGTCAATTCAATTTGGAGAATGATCAGACCGCGGGCGTGGTGAGGTAGATCCCAACTCAATCTCATGCAAGTATAGTTCCGCACCACTATTTTCTTCTATCGTAATTATCTGTTAGATCTGCCTCAGGCAGTATCTCCTCACAGAGACCCCGAAGATGTTCAGATATCTGAGTTTAAACCAGATAGAGGTCACGAACACCGCATCTATATAGAGGGTGTCTTTCTCCCTCCCGTAGTTTCATGTTGGTCACAGAAGAAACTTTTTTATAGATATAACCCGTAGTTTGGCACCCTATGTGGCTGCGTGAAGCTAGCCGCCGGACATGCCATTACATTAGAGAAATAGTGCTCCCGTCTCGTCTGCCAGGCAGCTGAAACAGCATAGGGGGGATTTATATCTCATTTCAGCTCCTAAACGAATGGCTGCCACGAGGTTCATTGTACTGTGGTTGCCTTGGACGGAGAAATTAGCCACTATTAGTCATCGCCATGTTTGCTTGCCTTCCTCGCGGATTTTTATCCACGGGTAGGGGTCTTTCGAATAGCATGGTGTGGTGGATCGGCAAAACGCATCCCGGCACCAGTATCGCTCCTTTCCGCTCAGTCTTTAGAGATGGTCCCGCGCTCTGATGGTCAGCCGTCAAACTTGCAAATCTTTGCTTCACTCTTGGTGGTCATGAGTCTCTAGAACACGAACTGGCCAATAAGCGGTTACTGTAGTTGAGGTATATCCTTATGCACGATCGATATATTCAAAGCCTGCAGCCTGTTCATCCTCGAGAGCGCTTCTTCTAACCACCCACACCAACTTGCATTCTTGTAGACACGAAAAAGACGTCCACAGCCAGATATTCACGTGGGGTCATACTCCTGAGAGAAGAGCTGGGAAAGGATTCATCCGCCCACAACCGCATTTCCGGCATATGCACCAACATGGGCAAAGTGCGAGGGTACCACATACGCGTTATATCCCTGCAAAAGGCGGGGATGGAGGTTATTTTGGGTTAAGGTTTTGTTTAGGGGTGTGTGTGGTCAATAATAATGCATGCACAGGCGCATGTGTCCGCGAGAAGGAAGGGGGTGGTTTGGTTCGTTGTTAGCTGATGACTTTCTTCGACATACGGAGTACAGGAGTGTCCTATTGGCAAGGAAGACGGGCCAAAAGTCCAGGATGCGAGCAACGGTTGCCACATGACAGACGCCCAAAGGCTATATGTTGGTTGGCTGGGGTCTCATAGGATGAACTGCGAGGACCTAAATAAGATTTTTGGTTTTTTAAAAGGACTGTATCCCATGCGCTTCCACTTCCTTCGCCCAGGATATATAAATCCTTTTAATCGGAATCGGAGTGCAGACGAGAGAGATTCTCACGATGATGTTGGATTAGAGTTGCAGAGATTGATTGATAAGATAAATAGCCCCAGCCGTGTTGGCTCAGACACGTGATTCACCACCTCCAGACTCCAGCTTCACCATCGAGTTGTCAAGCATCTCCAGGATACAGATAGGTATATCCGCGCTCCCTGTGGCTAACGTCCAACGATGCTTTGATAAGCTCTGTCCTAACGGCCGCTTGACTGCTGTTTGAGTTTCTCTTCGGCTAACGATGCTTGAAAATCGTCTGAGGAGCCTGCTTAATCGGCATCGGCACCAGTCGTACGAGCAATTGCGGAACGAAACTGATGCAGGCGACATTAGTGATGGAGTGTCACGTAGAGATAGCGGGAGGGTCCACCAGCTGGAGGACTACTCGGACTCTTCCTTCTCATGGCTTGAATACTCAATGTTCTTCTGGATGGGGGCAAACATGCTTTGGGCTTGGTATGTTACTAAATTTCCATTGCAAGGCAGGACCCTAGCTGTGTACCTCAATCTACTCAATGTATCACGTTGCGGAGCTGCATTTCGTGGATGTATATGCATATAGGAAGACCCATAACTGATGTATGAACGTTCAGGAACATGTTTTTAGCAGCAGCTCCATACTTCCAGCTCCGATTCGCATCCAACACTTGGATCATGACCAATTTCCAATCCTGTATCCTATCCGTCTCCTGCGTCACCAATCTATTGTCAGTTCTTATCCTAGCAAAATTGCAGAAAAATGCATCGTATTCTCATCGCGTAATTTTCTCCCTTATTCTTAACATCACGATTTGTACCTTGCTAGCGATCTCTGCCATTCTATTCCGGGACGTCTCCATCCCTCTCTACTTCGCATTCCTACTCTTCATGGTGCTTGGTGCCAGTCTTGCAACCGGATTCAACCAGAATGGGATGTTCGCTTATGCCTCCGGATTTGGGAGGACCGAATATACACAAGCTCTTATGGCAGGGCAGGGCGTAGCCGGTGTTTTGCCCTGTATCGTCCAAATTGTTTCCGTACTCGCCGTACCCGAGCAGAGTGAAAACGTAAGCGATCGTGTTGTCCAGTACAAATCGGCCAAGTCTGCATTTTCGTTCTTCCTCACCGCGACTCTAGTATCTGTCATCGCATTCTTCTCTTTCGTTTACCTTCTCCGCCGACGAAGGAAATCATTATCTCTCACCCTTAAAACCGCCACCACTCTCGGACCCGACGACGAGGAACTCGAAATCCACCATCACCGCCCAACCCAAAATATCACTACCACTCTGGATCCTTCTTCCAAAAACTCCGGTTGGATGGCGCCTAGCCCGTCTTCCTCGCTGTTTTACCGTCACAATGGCCTACCCGGTCTTCACAAACCAGATCCAGAGCGTCAGAAACTCCAACTCCACCTCAGATGGAAGCCAGCATATTCCCCGACTATTCCAGCCAACCATTTTCATCCCCGTAGCCCTCCTATTCTGGAACTCTGGCGACCTGGTCGGCCGACTCATCATCCTGATCCCTCAAATAAGTCTAACACACCGGCCATTCCTACTCTTCCTCCTCTCTATAGCACGCTTCATCTTCATTCCCCTCTACATGACCTGCAATGTAAACGGACGCGGCGCCTGGATAGACAGCGATATTTTCTACCTAGTTATCGTGCAGTTTCTTTTTGGCATGTCCAACGGGTATATTGGTGGAGCGTGTATGACGGGTGCGGCTGAGTGGGTGGCTGTTGAGGAACGAGAGGCTGCGGGCGGGTTTATGGGCTTTATGCTTGTCGCTGGGTTGACCTCGGGGAGTTTCCTGAGTTTTTTGCTTGCTAGTTAGGTTCTATTTTACCATGCTGGTCCATTTTCGGTTTTCATCTATTATACAACTATATAATGCTACTTTCCCATGCATTCCTTTCCCGTTAGAATGATTAGAATGATTAAGATGGTCTATTGGATATATTTTTCTCTTTATCATACCCCTATTTATATTATGGTCGTCGCAGAACGAGGATCTATACTGCATCACAGATGAGCAAGACAAGGCGGTTTCTTTTCTTTTTATTTCTGTCCAAATATGTTTGTCGGTTTAGAAATGATACTCTATCCGGAATTTCTAGACTATAAATCAACATACGAATAAACTCTATCAATGAACAGTAGCCTAGAAACATAGTAAAGTGTCTATATGAGAATAAATACACTCTTACATAAAAAGTTAAAAGTCATACATATTACACTTTATAGGCGGGAAGAGAGAAGTATTTCGTGATTGATGCTTGACAGGTAGACTGGCTGATGGGTGATCGGCTGAGTTGTACGACAAGAGGGGAGAGTGGGTTAGGAGGAGTAGGGATCAGGGGTATAGAAAACGGAGGGGATTTGGGTCGAATATACAAACGAATAACGACAGTGGGGATGGTAGGAATGCAGTAAAATGTTCTGAGTGACATATTATACAGATAAAGTACATGTACACACAGAGTGAGGGGTGATGCATGCAAAAAAGTTGACGAGGAAGGAGAAGCGCGGATATGTACGCCATCCACATTGATTTTGGACGGCAGTTATAACTAATTATAATAATAAAAACAAGCAATCCAGCAATAGTTTCAAAGGGGTATTGTACCATAAGTAGTAACTAAATCGAGAAATTAAAGAAAATCGATTGTAGCCACCTAGAAAGAGGAAAGGCACAGTTATTGGAGTCATGAATCGGCGGACTTTCGGAAAAGGAGATGACCGCACCCTGCAGGCGGGGCGGGGTGGGAAGCAACAAGGAATGTTATCGATGGGTGAGACGAGCCCAGGAGGAGAAGAGGCAAACACGCAAAAACATATGAATTTGCTAGTCGGTTTTATTTTGATCGTCGATGCTCCGCTTCTTCCACGCCAACCACAACACCATCCGGTTCAGAAGAAGCTTCCTCATCTTTTTTCTCCACCTTTTGCTCATCAACTACCTCTCTCTCGGACTCCGTTTCCGCATCGTCATCCTCTGCATAATCCTCGTCCCCTTCCTGTAGCATTTGTTGCAGCTCCTCCGTCTCAGACGGCGGGCCCCGTCCTGCAGAGCTATCGTAATGCGGCAACGGCCCAACACCACCCTCTCCACCGCTCATTTGCCATTCCATAAGTTTCGTGAAAGCGCCGTCCGGCCGCGAGCTTAGTTCTTTGTAAGTGCCTTGCTCGGCAACGCGGCCGTCTGAGCTGAGCACGACAATGGTATCAGAGCGCTTGATGGTTGAGAGGCGGTGAGCGATACTGATGGTTGTGAGATTTCCCTGAAGAAGCGCAGCGAGGGCGCTGTTGACTAGGGTCTCAGATTCGGCATCCAAAGCGGATGTGGCTTCATCTAGGATAAGGATGTCAGGATTCTTGATGAGAGCGCGAGCGATGGCAATCCGTTGCTTTTGACCTCCAGAAAGTTGGGCCCCGCGTGCGCCGACATGGGTATCAAGACCGTCAGGCTAGATGAACGGCAAATGTTATTAGCATGCTTCGTAAGTGAGAAGGAAGGGAAGACGAAAAGGGAGGCGTACAAAATCGCTTATAAATTGACAATTCGCTCTGCGTGCTGCGGCGATGATTTCCGTCCTTGTCGCGTTAGGCTTTCCGTAGGATATGTTCTCAGCTATAGTTCCGGAGAAAAGTACCGGCTCCTGTGAGACGACACCGATCTTCCTTCGTAGCGATTTGGCATTCATTGTAGAAATATCCTTGCCATCTATCAGGATCTGACCCTTGGTAGGGTTATAGAATCGGAGCAATAAGGAGGCAATGGTTGATTTACCGGCTCCTGAGGGGCCGACGATCGCAACGTTGCTTCCCTGAGGGATTTCGAAGTCGAGCTCTCTAAATATTGTAACGGCAGGTCTGGTGGGATAGCTGAAATCCAGGTCCCTGAAGCGAATTGGTCCTCGTGCGGATATGACCTTGTCTCCTTTGGTGGGAGGGACTGTAGGGTTGCGGTCCTGAAGTTCAAAGAGCCGGATGGCAGCACCGACGCCTTTCATCAGTTCTGAATAGAAACTGGAGAGGCCGAACATGCTTGAGCCCGGCATAGGCAGTATACATGAGGAATGAAGTTAGGTCACCAATCGAAATCGCACCAGACTGGACCATCCCGCCGCCCACATATAGTAAACTCCAGATGGTCATTATTGCTCATCAAACCAGTCTGTACAAACACAAAGCCTGTCAG